CTGTGTATTTGGAGTTTGCGTGTCTCTCTCTCTCTCTCATCATCATCACGGTGGCTATGAGATGTTAACTACCTCGCCTGGTATACAGGAGGTCGTGGGTTCGGTCCCGACCCTGACGCCTGTTGCTGTATATTTGGAGTTTGCGTGTCTCTCTCTCTCTCATCATCATCATCACTGTGGCTATGAGATGTTAACTACCTCGCCTGGTATACAGAAGGTCGTGGGTTTGATCCCGACCCTAATGCCTGCTGTAGATTTTGAATTTGCGTGTCTCTCTCTCTCATCATCATCACGGTGGCTATGAGATGTTAACTACCTCGCCTGATATACAGGAGGTCGTGGGTTTGATCCGGACCCTGGACGTCTGTTGTACTTCGGAATTTGCGTGTCTCTGTCCACGTGGAATTTTCTCCGGGTCCTCTGGGTTTTTTCCCCCTCCACATTTAGCATCAACACCACCACCACCACGCGTTCTTAGAGTTTCTGTTTTGTCGCTATAAATTTGCGCGCGATGGGCCGCACTTCGTGGAGCTATCATTTTCTGCACGGCCGATGAGCACAGTTGGCTACGTACGGCGCGAAATAAATTCAACATAAATGTGTGACCAGGTCGCTTCTGAAAAATTGCTTTGTAGCCCAGTGGGCCTGACCTGGTAAAATAAAAATAATATTTTTTTACATATTCTTGGTTCTGTGAAAATGTTCTTGCTGTGGATTTCACACCTGATGATGATTGCTTGTGTTGCAGTCGAAACGTCGTGGGAATTTTATTGTTTTATACTTTTATTATTTAATTGTTTCCCTTCTACGTGACTTTACCGAAAGAACCAAGCATATGAATCCCTGCAGTCATGAAAGCTTTAAATCAAAACATTTTTACAGTCAACTATCTCGCCCTTTCCTCTCACGGTTTTCGTCTGTCGCTCGCCTCCTCAGCTGCCTCCTTCACCACCAACCCCCATGTCCCCCACCTCTAAACCACCTTACCCCCTTCACCTCGCTGAACCATCGCCACACACCATCATCCCTGTCACCTCGCTTATAAACACCGCCGCCCACCATCATTCATCTCTCTCACCGCTCACCTCCCTCGCCTCTCACCTCTTCGCTCGCCTTCCATTATCCACCTCAACGTCAACCTCCCCATTCCTCGCCTTCCTCACCAGCTAGCCACCTTTAGCTCCCACCTCGCTCACCTCCCTCAAGCCCCTCACTCAGCGTCACCTCCATCGCTACATCAACCATCACCTTACTCACCTCCACCCCACCATCACCCACCACTCACCACCTTCCTCACCTCACTCCACCATCACCCATCACGTCCCTCACCTCACCCCACCATCACCCACCACTCACCACCTTCCTCACCTCACTCCACCATTACCCACCACTCATCACCTTATTCACCTCCACCCCACCATCAACCATCAGCTTCCTCACCTCACCCCACCATCACCCACCACTTATCACTTTACTCACCTCACCACCTCCCATCGCTTCCCTCCCTCTCCTCACCTCACTCCGCCATTGACCATCACCTTCCTTCCGTCACCAGCCATCACTTTCCTCACCTTCCTCACCTCCACCCCACCATCACCCACCACCTTCCTCACCCCCACTCCACCATCACCCACCACCTTCCTCACCTCACTCCACCATCACCCACCACCTTCCTCACCCCCACTCCACCATCACCCACCACCTTCCTCACCTCCACTCCACCATCACCCACCACCTTCCTCACCTCACTCCACCATCACCCACCACCTTCCTCACCTCACTCCACCATCACCCACCACCTTCCTCACCTCACTCCACCATCACCCACCACCTTCCTCACCTCACTCCACCATCACCCACCACCTTCCTCACCTCCACCCCACCATCACCCACCACCTTCCTCACCCCCACTCCACCATCACCCACCACCTTCCTCACCCCCACTCCACCATCACCCACCACCTTCCTCACCTCCACTCCACCATCACCCATCACCTTCCTCACCTCACTCCACCATCACCCACCACCTTCCTCACCTCCACTCCACCATCACCCACCACCTTCCTCACCTCCACTCCACCATCACCCACCACCTTCCTCACCTCACTCCACCATCACCCATCACCTTCCTCACCTCACTCCACCATCACCCACCACCTTCCTCACCTCACTCCACCATCACCCATCACCTTCCTCACCTCACTCCACCATCACCCACCACCTTCCTCACCTCCACTCCACCATCACCCACCACCTTCCTCACCTCCACCCCACCATCACCCACCACCTTCCTCACCTCACTCCACCATCACCCACCACCTTCCTCACCTCCACTCCACCATCACCCACCACCTTCCTGACCTCCACTCCACCATCACCCACCACCTTCCTCACCTCCACCCCACCATCACCCACCACCTTCCTCACCTCACTCCACCATCACCCACCACCTTCCTCACCTCACTCCACCATCACCCACCACCTTCCTCACCTCCACCCCACCATCACCCACCACCTTCCTCACCTCACTCCACCATCACCCACCACCTTCCTCACCTCACTCCACCATCACCCACCACCTTCCTCACCTCACTCCACCATCACCCACCACCTTTCTCACCTCACTCCACCATCACCCACCACCTTCCTCACCTCACTCCACCATCACCCACCACCTTTCTCACCTCACTCCACCATCACCCACCACCTTCCTCACCCCCACCCCACCATCACCCACCACCTTCCCCACCTCACTCCACCATCACCCACCACCTTTCTCACCTCACTCCACCATCACCCACCACCTTCCTCACCCCCACTCCACCATCACCCACCACCTTCCTCACCTCCACCCCACCATCACCCACCACCTTCCTCACCTCACTCCACCATCACCCATCACCTTCCTCACCCCCACCCCACCATCACCCACCACCTTCCTCACCTCACCCCACCATCACCCACCACCTTCCTCACCTCACCCCACCATCACCCACCACCTTCCTCACCTCACCCCACCATCACCCACCACCTTCCTCACCTCCACCCCACCATCACCCACCACCTTCCTCACCTCACTCCACCATCGCTTCCCTCACCTCAACCCCACCATCCACCATCACCACCTCTCGCCAATTCTCTTACCTCCCCTCACCTCTCACGTTTCTCCCCCCCTCTCCCCCCTCCCTCCCTCTCCTCCCTCCCTCCCTCCCTCCCTCCCTCTTTCACCGCCCAACACCACGACCCCCCCCCACCCACCGCGCTATCCCCTCCCCTGGACCCCTCTCAACTGGGACCCCATCAAGAGCCCTCTCATGCCCCCCCCCCCTCTCTCCCTTCCCCAGGGGGTGACTCAGCGAAGTCGCGGGCTCTCGACCCCCCCCCCCCCTCTAGCCCCTCGGTGACTTGACAAGAGGGGGCGGGGCAGGGAGAGGAGGGGGGTGGAAAAGAAATTAATAATTAAATTGGCTCGGTCGTGTTGAAAACAGATTGTGAGTGTGAGTGTGTCATCATCATCGTCATCAGCCATGGCCAATCCACTGCTGGATGAAGGCCTCCACAAACCGCCGACGCCTCTCACCGCCGTCTCCTGCCACGGAATAATCCGCCCAGAATCAGGGGTCTGTCACCGCAGGCAGAGGGCAGCAGGGGTCCGTACAGAGGGCAGCAGAGGTCTCTAACCGTACAGAGAGGGCAGCAGGGGTTTGTATAGAGGATAGCAGGGGTCTTTAATCATCAACAGAGGGCAGCAGGGGTTTGTACAGAGGGCAGCAGAGGTCTGTAATAATCAACAGAGGGCAGCAGGGGTCTGTAATAATCAACAGAGGGCAGCAGGGGTTTGTATAGAGGGCAGCAGGGATCTGTAATCATCAACAGAGGGCAGCAGAAGTCTGTAATAATCAACAGAGGGCAGCAGGGGTTTGTACAGAGGGCAGCAGGGGTCTGTAATCATCAACAGAGGGCAGCAGGGGTCTGTAATCATCAACAGAGGGCAGCAGGGGGTTGTATCAAGAACAGCAGGGGTCTGTAACCGCGCACAGAGGGCAGCAGGGGTTTGTACAGAGGGCAGCAGGGGTTTGTACAAGGGTCCGTACAGAGGGCAGCATGAGTCTGTAACCGCACGCAGAGGGCAGCCGGAGCAGTGATTGTGTAGAATGCTTCAAGTGGTTTGCGCGTGCGGCGACTGAAGAGTGGCGGGCGGGGCGGAGCCGGGCGGGGAGACGCGGCGCCAGAGATCGTGAAAACTTCGTGCTGTGTAAAAAAAAGATCGTGGAACTATCGTGTTGTGTAAAAAAAATATGGTGAAAATATCGTGTTGTGTAAAAAAAATATGGTGAAAATATCGCGTTGTGTAAAAAAAATATGGTGAAAATATCGCGTTGTGTAAAAAAAATATGGTGAAAATATCGTGTTGTGTAAAAAAAATATCGTCAAAATATCGTGTTGTGTAAAAAAAATATCGTCAAAATATCGTGTTGTGTAAAAAAAATATCGTCAAAATATCGTGTTGTGTAAAAAAAAGGGACCACCCCCCCCACGGGCTCAGTCAAGGAGCGCGCGCCTCGCCACTTTGGCCGTGGCTACTCGGGGTAGGAGCGCCATTCTCAACGTGCACCCCAAAGAAGGGCGCTGCTGCTGCTGCTTGCTGCTGCTGTTCGTTTTTCGATGAGGGGCACATTCTTCAAAACATCTTAGCGAAACATTTGGAGAAAGCCGAAGACAGCGAAAAAGGCCTTGCTGCTGGCTGCTGCACCGTGTTGAGTAATGTTTGTTTTCCGCGTGTTATGGGCGCTTTCGTGTGTCTGTGGGAGACGGGGTGGTTTGTTGGCACGCCAGGAGAAATTGTTGTGGAGAAGCTATTTGTCAGTCATCACGGAGGAGCGGGTGTACCGTGTGTTTTTTATTTAACATTTTTTAAAACTATTTCTCTTTACTACTCCTGCACACCAGGCGAGGGAGATGACATCTCCTCGCCACCGCGACAACCCCAGGAAGGTGCAGCAGATTCGAGCCGAGTGCTTTACATTTTTATTTAGAAACAAAACCGGAATTAAGCCAGTTTTCTTTTTTATATATATATACAAATGATACCGACAGTCGGGAGTTAGGTGGTGATCGTGACAAGTGTTTTTTTTTCCCTCTAAAGAGCGAGGTTACAGTAAAACCATAATTAATATATAAACAATCAAGTGCAAAATGTGCGGAATTTACGCAAGGTTACACGTACCGGGCGTAACCAAAATCAATCATCGTGTAAAGTTACGAGCGGTCGCCTCTCCCGCGTGACGCGCGTGTGTAGCAGCGTGCGGCGGCAACCACACGCAGCGTGCAGCGGCAACATCTCCAAAAATCCGCTCGGCCGCTGAACCCGCCGGGGAGTCCAGGACGTACGATGCGACGGGGAGGATGAGGAAGGAAGGAGTAATGGAGTGAGGAAGACGGAGCGGGAGCGACCCGCTCGCCACTTCATTGTCACTGGTCGTGGCAGCAGCAGCAGCAACAGCGTAGGTGGCGAGGGCAACCCTCAGCGTCGCTCAGTCCGTCACCGTGACGACCGGCCCAGGGACGTCCCTCAGTAATCAGGACCTGAGAGCACAGAAGACAACCATGGGGATTGATATTAGACCAGGACTGCTTCTGTGACGTTACTTGTTAAGGACCGTCGGTCTCGAATTCACGTTGCATTGCGGCTCTTGACACATGGAGTTTTTTTTTTTTACCGAATTCTGACCCTTGTAATAGACCGGACGGCAATACAATGCAACATTTATAGCTGCCGCAACGAAACAAAAGGGAGAAATTACCTTCACACCAATCTCAATTTACTAAAACCTCCTGATGCACTTTGTCCAACAAAGCTGGTGGTGATTTGCTGATGGCCTGGCGATGCGTAAGCTGAGGTCATGATGTGACCCCCGCCCCCCCCCATGGGGTTATATCAGACGGGGGAGGGGGGGGGACACACTAATTGTACCGCCTCGACCCCAATCCAACACACATACTGACCCGGCCGCGTGTTAAGTGAGACCGGGCTCCATTATAAATTCAGAGGAGTTATCCGTAGAGGAGATCAAACGATGTGTCGGGCTCTTCCCGCACACGAGCTGCTGGTCTCATCGACCGATCTTCCAGCTCTGGACGTCCTCTCTGGCGCATTTCAGCCTTCTCTGGCTGCTGCAACTCCACCGTCAAAAGTGTCGACTTCCAACAGACATCGGACCCACGGCTCCCCACCCACCCTCCGGGTCTTGCAGCAGCGCGTCCCTGCACAATGCCGCTTATGATGAAATCATCGCAAGAGTTACATTGGACCCTCGCTGCTGCTGCTGCTGCTGCTGCAGCGACCGTGCAAATGTGAATTTGATTAGAGATTTAAAATACGAAACGGAACTAATAATCTACGTTGCCAAGACATCAAAGAAAACCCCAGACATCTCTCCCACGCTATCTTCATTTCTTAAAATAGAAATTCGTTCTTGCGCCAAGTCATCCAAAAGTGGTATTTTGTGTTAAAGCATACTTTGCGCGCACTTGATATCTGCTAAACAAAACAAAAGACAATAATATACTGGCAAGCGCATACTGTGTGTGTGTACATATATCTTTTATTCATTTCATTCTTGGTTGTCATGACTGTCTGGGCAAGGCTGGCGGCTGGAAAAATCCAATTTCCGCTCTGCCACCACCACCGCCACCGCCGCCACCACCACCACCACCTGGTGGCGAACAGCTGTGTGTGGCGGTGCCGATCGCCAACAACCCTGCCGACGCGAGCCGATTCGTCGTCGCAATTCGAGGTCATGACTCAATGAAACTGCTGCTGCACAGATTTGAAGCTTTCGTGACTGCAAGGATTCATACTCTTAGTTCTTTCGGTAAAGTCACGTAGGTAAAAAATGAGATTAAAATTAATAAAAAATAAAACAATAAGATCACTGTGATCTTATTGTTTATTTTTTATTAATTTTAATTTCATTTTTTTACCTACGTGACTTTACCGAAAGAACTAAGAGTATGCTGCTGCACAGGTTTTTTTTGTCCCTCACTCCAGGCGCGCACGTTCCCTTCGTGTGCGGCTAACCTATTTCTCACGAAGATTCGCAACCGCGTGCGGTGTGAATTCACTCGTATTGCGGTCGGACGTGGGACGATAGTGTGCTGTGTACCGTGCGTGTACGGTACGTACTGTGTGGGTACTGTACGTACTGTATGTGCTACTTGGCAGGTCAGCTGTCTCCTCGTGTGGCTTTGTTTGGAATGCATCTACTACTATTACTACTACCGCATGAAGCAGGAGAAACCTGCATTTAGATTTTGCCTCGTAAATTGTTCGTCAAACGACAAACTCGGTTCCCATGGTATGACGATGATCCGATTGCTCTATGCCATTGCTGTCCCAAGATTGCCCTAAATGTATCCCGATGCATAACGGCCATTTACCGGATCACCCGCATTCGGTTGAACCTGGGATAATGCTTGGATGGGTGACCGCCAAAGACAGGTGTAAGTAGGCGTCGTGAGGTGCGGTGCAGATAAATCTGTCACTGTTCGACACTCCCCCCACCAGCTTCGCCAACCCGAGGTGACCAGCACGGTGAGGTGGTGTGGTCAAACATCCCTCACGGCCCACAAGGCGGTCTGGAGGCCCTCGTCCAGCAGTGGATTAAAACGGGTTCCGCGCTCCGTTTGACTTTAGATCGCGGTCGCTGAGCCCGGGTCTGAAAGGCCCATGAATGCCGAGGGGCCAGCAACGGACAACGCGCTGCCTGGACGTCCCCACCACGGAGGTGCGTGCGGCGGTGCCGGATCTCACCCAAGGAGTAGTCGACGCCCGGGAACGAGACGCGGCCCTCCGTGGTCATCTTCTCCGGGAACTGGGGGACAAACGGAGACGGCGGGGGGTTGGGGGGGGGGGTGTCACGAGCGTAATAAACAGCCCAACGGAGAACAACGCTCGCCGCAACAAGCGGGGGAGGGACACGCGGCTGCTAACACGCACGCCCGGTTACCCCCCAGCGCTGGCAACAACAACAACAACTGCCATTCACCACGTTGCCTGCGCCAGGCTATGTGCACTTTAAGACCACTGCGAAGTGTCGAATGCCCGCTGGCAGGAGGTCACAGGACAGAGCCAGGTGCCGTGGGTCGACTGACTGCGAGAGGGACACACGGCGCGACAGCCAGGCTCGCCACTAGCACGCACGCCCGGTTACCCTAGCACCAGCATACGGGGACGGACACGCGGCACGACGAAACCGATCCTGAACCCCATCTCCCCCTCCTTCGCGAAACCCGCACTGACCAGCGTGGTGTGAGTGTGTGTGAAGCGTGTGGTGTACGTGTGTGTGGTGTATGTGTGTGTGGTGTGCGCGGTGTATGTGTGGCGTGTATCGCTTGGTGTGTCGCTCGGCGTGCCGCGTCGACTACTCGGCGTGGGGGCACCTCCACCCCGCAGTAGACTTTGTCATGAAGGACTCTGAATGCAAGCAACTCGGGAGAGGAGTACGTGACGTGACAACGAGCAGCAGGAATGTTGCTGGAGGGATCAGAATGTTTTTTGTGGGGGGGGGGGGAGGGGGGCCACGGTACCTGTGCGGACGGACCCATCGGTTGCCCCCCCGACGGTTTTGTATTCCCCGCGCCTCCCGCTCGGCCCTGCCGGTTCCCCTGCTGCTGCTTCTTGTTTTTGTGCTCATTCTGGAGCCTCTCCAGCAGGAACTGCTTGTCGTGCCCTTCCTGGAGGGCACCGGTTGTGGGGTGGGGGGGGCACAGGGTCAGACGGTGAAGGGGCGGGCAAAGGGGCTCACACGGTCACTGGGTGGTCAACGGTTTTTACGAGGTCACGTGGTGGTCATGAGGTTACAAGGTGGTCAAGGGGGTACATGGTCACATTGTGGACGAGGGGTCACGAGGTCACACCGGTGAGGATCTCTGGTGCGCGGCGACGACAACTCGCATAGCACCACAGTGGCACAAGAAGGTTGAGTTTTCTTTGTGGGGCCCTGTGACCTCTGCTTACGGCGAGCAGCCTCACGTTTTTGATTTGTTGCTGCAGAAGCTTCACCGTCTGCTTCCGCCCATCGTACAGCTGATACTGGATGTAGACGGCCATTCTGCGGAGAGACGCGCGGCGCCCGCGCCCAGGAGAGTGAACTCGATAGAACGCGACGAGTTTAACACCAGCGACCTCCGATTCAGCGCACGGTTGGGTTGCGTACGGATGCGAAAGAAATTCAACGTACGCAGAAACGGACAAAATCGACGTCGCGTCTAATTCCGGAACCATACGCGCACGTGAGCGCTCGGTTGCGCAATTCGATCGCTCTCGAAATCGCACGACTTGTTTCATCTCCACTTGTAACAGCGGTCGTTTGTATATTGAACTGCTTTCGCACCGTACGTAGTCAACCGTGGAAATCGCAGTGCTTAAGAAATGAGTTTTAAATCTAGATTATTTAAAAGTGCACAGCGCCAGTGGCTTCTTAATATCGGAAGGAAGAGCGTTCCAGATAGCCACATGCATACATTAACCCCCCCCCCCCCCCCCCCCACTGGCCTTCGCACCTGATTGTGACATCACAATTATCCCTCCAAGACCGAAACAAGATTACTCCACAAATCTGGCTGTGCGCCTGATGAGGCTGGTTTTTGTAATTACTGACGAAACGTCGTACTCGAATTTGTAACGTTGTGGGTTTACTCTCCAACACACAACCGGTTGTGCTGTACGAATGACGAATTGGCACGTTCTGTTTACGTGAAAAACCCTTCTAATTGGCCGTGTCGGGTGGTGGCGGGTTTCACGACACACATTTATATTTACGCTGGCTAACCCAGAAACCTTTATTATGGAGTGTCAGCATGTATGCTGAACTTATTTTGCACCGTACGTAGCCAACCGTGCTAATCGGAGGTGACCGTCTTTCTTTGGTGGTGGGGGGGTGGGGGGTGCGGCACTTGGAGCTTGTGTCGGTGCGGGAAGCTCACAAGAGGAAGGCGCTGATGATGAAGAAGAAGAGGGCGCTCTCCATGAAGTTGATGTAAAGCCACACGGCCGCCGACCGCGTCTTGTCGACTTCTGTCACCCACCGGCGCACGGCGTCGTAGAACAGGGGCAGCGAGCGGAACGGCCCGCAGTTCGCGCTCGGAGTCTTCCTGCGGTGGGGAGAGGGGGGGGGGGTCACGAGAGGTCATCTGAGGTCATTTTAACATCACAAGCGTTTACTTACGATAATTACTACTACTACTATGATTACGATCACCAGCGAGTGACACGGCGATCAACAACCGCAGGGTCCCGGCAGTCACGTAAAAGGTTTCTCAGAAGTAGTTTTGCGATATCCGCTTCCGTTCATGAGCAACGAGGGCGGCACTCACCTTGCGAGAGTTCCCAATGGGTTGTTAGGCCCGTGATGTGACGCCAACAGCACAATCGAGATTAGATATTGGCGAAAGAGACGAAAATAAATACGGTAGAAGCTGTGTACCAGCACAACACTTGTAAGTAGTGTACAGTACTTGTATCAGAAGGTGGCCGTTTGCCTTCCTCATACGAGTGTGACGTAGGAGTGATAAAATAATCGGCCCAAGGAGACTTACGAGACAGGGGTTTTATTTCTTGATTTCTGTCCACAGACTCAACAATGCACGTAGACACAACACTGCACCATAGACTCAAAAACTGCATCATAGACTCAACACTGCATCATAGACTCAACACTGCACTGTAGACTCAACACTGCACCGTAGACTCAACACTGCACCATAGACTCTGCACTGCACCATAGACACAACATTGCACCATAGACTCAACACTGCACCATAGACACAACACTGCACCATAGACTCAACACTGCCCATAGACGCAACACTGCACCATAGACTCAACACTGCCCATAGACTCAACACTGCCCATAGACTCAACACTGCACCATAGACACAACACTGCACCATAGACTCAACACTGCACCATAGACACAACACTGCACCATAGACTCAACACTGCCCATAGACTCAACACTGCACCATAGACTCAACACTGCCCATAGACTCAACACTGCCCATAGACTCAACACTGCACCATAGACACAACACTGCACCATAGACTCAACACTGCCCATAGACCAGGGGTCGGCAACCAAAATAACAAGAAGAGCCATTTCTTTCCAATTCGGTACAAAATTCAGTATTTCAAGAGCCGCAATGCATCTGAGTACATACTGTACATATCGTCAAGAAGCAGCCTGTAAAGAGCCGCATGCGGCTCCGGAGCCGTAGGTTGCCGACCCCTGCCATAGACTCAACACTGCCCATAGACTCAACACTGCACCATAGACACAACGCTGCCCATAGACTCAACACTGCCCATAGACTCAACACTGCACCATAGACTCAACACTGCACCATAGACACAACGCTGCCCATAGACTCAACACTGCCCCTGTACATGAAGCAGCCCCCCTCCTAAACCTCCTTGCGTTCCTCTCTCAAAGCCTCACCACCTCTTCTCCATCGCCCATTCCCTCCCCCTTCCCTCTCCTCGCCCCTGCACTCCTTCCCCTCTCTCCCCTGCAGCTCTTTCGTGACCCCCCCCACCCCCACCGTGTGCCCTCTGTAGCGTGGGGCTTGTTTTTCAAAAGAGGGGACGGGGGGGGGCACTGAGAAAACTCAACGGGGGTGGGTGGGGGGCACGACGACACATGCCACGCAGAATGGGTGCGAGCTCCGGTGAGCTGCTGTACGACACTCAAACGGCAGAGGGTGAGCTACCGTGCATCCTTCGACACGCAACTCAAAAAACGACCGTTAGCTTGGTGGTAGAGAATATTTAAAAGATCCAATGAGCAATATCTCCTTCGCGAATCCATCTCTCCACGTGAACAAAAAAGAACACACACGCAACGTGTGAAAGGGAGAATGTGCTGTCTGCGCATCTATTTTGTTACGTTCTGCACAAAGACGCCGGTGGTTATTTTGAGTTTGCATATCACTGTGTCATTTTTCGTCGAACCGAGGCCCCCAGAGCGGAAAGCGTCAGTCAGGGTCCTTGCCCCTGCGAGATCGGCAGTTCACCAGCATTCGATTCAAGCGAACCCGACTCTGCTGACGGGACACCGTGTGTCAAAACCGGTCCACAATTTGCCTGCCTTGAAACAATGCTGCTGAAATGATGCACTCCCAGAATGCCGTGTGGCCGATATAATTCGTCAAAATAAAATACTTTGATATATTTTTTTTGCGTAGGGACAGATGTATTCCATAAGTGATTGACTGAACTAACGCAGACGTGCTAGGGCACATCTGCGTCAGTTCAGTCACGGTTACGTGTCTTTGCCGAACTTTGAAGCAAACCCACGACTGGCGTTGAATATCGAACGAACATTTTGTTGTGACGTGGGGGGGGGTATGCTAAGTCCCCCTCCGACGCTACGGGGTCCTCCGATGCTCCAGTGACACCCAGTCCTTCAACGACCAGTCTCACAGCAGCCTCACCACCAACGTGGCCACCACCGCCGCCATCGCCGTGCCCTGCGTGCCGCAACTGCCCCCCCCCCAACCCCTTAGGTCCGCCGCTGCCACCCACCTCCACATGAGGACCACCACCAGGCTCACGTAGCCCACGAAGGCGGGGAAGAACTGCAGGAAGATGAAGAAGGTGGACGTCTGGGCGGCCCTCCACGCCCGCCGCGGCGGCTGGCAGTTCATGCGCAGGCTCAGCTGGAAGGGGGTCAGGGGTCACCGGGGCGATAAGGGGGGGGGGAGAGGGGTTGTCATCCAACGATGGATCGATTCGCCGCTTCTTACGCCTTTTTCCACTGCAGAACCCGAAGCCGTGCCGCTGAGTCAGCGCGTAAATTACATTCGCCCCCGCCCCTGGCCCTGCTTGGTCCCCACGCCAGATCGAGACGTCCCGTGAGGCCAACATTTCACGGCTTGGTTCTGGTTCGGCTCGGCGAATAGCCGCTGGGAAGACCACCGGCACCGTGCGGGCCCCGCGCTGGCACGGCTCGGATGTGCCAGTGGAAAAGGGGCCACTGCTCACGCGATACATGTGCAGTACGCACGCGACGTTATCAAACAATTGTCATTGTCGTAATTATTATCAGCGGCTGCCATCATCTATCATCTATCCGCTGCTGGATTAATGATCCATCTGGGCCGATGTCGCGCGAACGATTCCATTCTCAACTCCAGTCCTCGCAGTCCCCCCACCCACCATGGTACAGCTGTCAGTGATTACCAGCCATCCGGCGTGTGCGGTGTGTGCAGTGGCCGTAAACCCCTGGCTGCGTGGAATCACCTTCTTCACGTAGAAGATGATGACGAGCTTGATGATTTGGATGAACGGCAGCAACGGCGAGAAGAACAATCCCAGCCTGGGTGGGGAGAGGACAACGACCGACACGGACACTCGGTTAATCACCGACCCCGTCGCCCTCCGCTGCTCCGCCAACGTCACGCGTGTTCTCCCCTCGTGTACGCGGTGTGCCGTCGGGGGGAGGGGGCGTTCTCCGGACACGGCAGTTTGCCTTCTTGACGCAAATAAGATGAATTGCACGGACATCCTGAGCAGACTCCTCCCGGAAAATGAAGTCTCCGTCACTGCTCGCGTTGCATGCCCGTGTGTGTGTGCGCGTGCATGTGTGCGTGTGTGCGTGCGAGCAAGCGAGCGACCGAGGGTGCGAGCGTGAGCGAGTGGGCACGCAGGAGTGAGCAGCTCGCATGAACGTGCGATGGCCAGAGTGCGACTGAGTGAGCAGGCGAGCGAGCGAAAGAGAGCGACTGTGAGCGAGCAAGAGCGCGTGTGAGCGCGCGTGAGCATGAGCCAACGAGCGAGCGAGAGTCTGCGAGTATGAGCGAGCGAGCAAGTGAGCACACCAGAGTGATAGGTCGAGTGTGCGGGAGTGCGTGAGAGCGTGCGGGAGTTCGTAAGAGTGCGCGGGAGATGCGTCAGAGCACGCGGGAGATGCGTGAGAGTGTGCGAGAGTGTGCGAGAGTGTGGGAGAGTGTGAGGGAGTGAGCGATCGAGCGTGTGGGCTGTACCACAAGAGCGTCTGTGCGTTGATGAGGTTGAGGACGTTGCGAGCGATGTCGAACTCGGGTTTGTGGGAGCCGTCCTCACCCTTGTAGCAGCAGCGCGCACCCAACCTGGCACCACATCCACCAGTACCGACCGAATCATCATTACCATCATCATTATCACCATCGTCACCATCATCATCTCATCATTATCACCATCGTCATCACCATCATCACGAACGTCACCATCATGATAATCACCGCGATCGGTCACCATCATCATATTGGTTAACTGAAGGATGATTGTCCATCAGTCTGCTTATAAAAGTAGTACAAGGGTACGAAATATAAATGTACGGTATTTAAACCCCCCCCCCCTTTAGAACAAACTAGTTTTAATACTTTGACCTGACCTGAAGAGTGGGCAAAATAATTCAGAACCTGCTGTGGTGTGCAAACATATCCGGTGGGGAGACAAAGGCGGCCGGGCGTGGTGCTGGCCACCCTCCCCACTCGTATGCCGAGCCGGCCTTCATAGGTGCTCGCTGAGAGCAATTGTCCCCAGCAGTCCGTTAAAGGCTTTGGGGGGGTGAATATTTGTCTATATAGAGGTCGACCACCACACATACCCCCAGATGAATTCTCCAAAGAACGTCTCGAGCAGGCTGAAGATGAAGTCCATCACGATGAGGCGGTAGAGGTCCTGCCCAACGAACGTCTCCCAGCACTGCGGGGTCACACGTGAGAGGTCAGGGGTTAAAGGAGTTCAAGTATTTTTTTGTTTACAAAATGAGAAATCAAGAGATGGATTATAGTCTTAATTGCAAGTGACGTGGGTCAGCAAATCGAAAAAGAGCCGATGGCTTTTTAAACAAAGGACGGCAGTAAAGAAAAAACGGAAACACCGGGGCCAAAAAACAGCCGTGTTCACAGAAGGAAAATTTGATAAATACAGTGTGCAAACATCGAGCGATATTAAATCAAATGAGTTTCCAGCAAGCAAAGTAGGCTCGGACAAATGTCTTAAAGGAAGACATCAAAATAGATCTAAGGCGATCATTACACGGGCATGTAAACAGACAAAGACGCGCGCCAAATATTGGTAAAAGAGAGGCGGAAAGTACGGGTCAGAGGTCAGGAGGCAGAAGGACGGTGGGGCACGGTGACAGCGTGAGTCCCTCGCCAGTCGCGTATCTGATTTGTTTACATTTTCGACGAATCAAACAAAGCACAGAACCAGGATACACGGGGCCCTCGCCATGTCCTGTTTAGACAAACTGGTCTCCCGAGACGAACCGAGTCGCAATCTACGCAGTGCCGGATTAAGCTAGTGCGGGGCCTGTAGCATATGTTATAAAGTGGCCCTAAATAAATATTAAAACACAAATGTTTTACTTGCATAGTATAGTAATTGCATTTTTTCATTTGCTATACGGCCAGATAATATGACAAATCGCTAACCTTAAACACCCAGTCGTTCGTAAAAATTTGAAGGTGGTATAGTACTATTGTAATAGAGCAAGTGCAGAATCACTGAACCGGAATTGATAGCTTGAAAGCGTTTAGCGCGGGGCCCTTGAAAGTGCGGGGCCCGTAGCACATGATACTTTTGCTACTCGGATAATCCGGCACTGGATCTATAGCAGGACGGAGAAAAGCAGAAGAGAAAGAGACAGAGAGATGGGGGGGGCGGGGAGCGGGGGGAGAGACGAAGGAGAGAAGACAATCCTCACCGTCATGCCCGACTCTGGCACGATGTCTATCCAGTAGTAGCAGAGGATGCCGAGGAGGGACATCTTCAGGATGACGTTTCTGTGAGCAGAGTGCAACACGATGGCCGGGTCACTCTCTCTTCGTATCACCTCGCACGCACGCACGCACACACGACCGCAGGCATGCACGACCGCACGCTTGTCCGCACGCACGCAGACCTACTCAACGGCAACGTGTTGACCCGCCCCTACTAGACATTAGTCGGGAAAAAAGTGCTTCATAGCTTCTAGATTTGAAGCTTCCGTGACTGCAAGAATTCACACTCTTAGGTTTTTTCGGTAAAGTCACGTAGGTAAAAACAATCATAGAAATAATAATAGAAATAAAATAATAAATCACGACGTTCCCGAAACGTCATGATTTATTATTTTAGTTCTATTAATATTTACAATATTTTATTATTTATTTATTTCCCTACATGACTTTACCGAAAAAAACCTAAGAGTATAAGCTTCATAGCTCATCAGATTCCTCCGATCTAAAGAAAGATTCTGATTTGAATGGGACAGGTGTCGTCGGCGAGTCCCCGTCACGGGCCGCCACCGTCGCCGCCACCGTGGCGTGCGAAGAGGGCGGTGGGGTCATCGCCTGTAAAACACCGCCTGTGTCTCCCCCAGTGCCGATGCGACGTGCATGGACACCGTGATTGGTTACTCGTCTGAGGATGAGTCGACCCAGCACAGGTTGGGAGGTCGCCCGCCGCTGATTGTCCGACTGGCCAGGAAGCAAACTGAGGTCGCCAGGTTCGTAGGGCAGTGCGCGAACAGCTGCACCACCACTCCGAACCTCCGATTAGGACCCCGCACCTCCGCTTAGCAATGGTTAGCTTCGTACGCCTTTTGGTGTCCTCTGGTCTAACACCGTTTGAGACGAGGCTCAAAAGAAAGCTGTCTCTGGTGTGGACCAATATATATTATCAGAGTATGTTTTTTGTTTGCATCCTGACCACAAGCATTGTGGTTAATGCAGACATGATTCCTTGGTGTTTTAACAACTTAACACCTGTTTTTTTTGCCAGATAAAAGGGGAAAAACCTATTCTCAATGGTTAGCTTACGTACTGTGCGAAAGACGTTCAACATACATACATACACACATACTCACCCATGCATCTAAACACACACAGGAACGGCCAAGTGCACACACGCCAACGTGCACACACACACTCTCACAAATAGCAACGTGGACGTACACACACATAGCTATGTACACACGTACACAAGTAGCAACGTACACACACGTATCAAAGCGCACTTACACACACACATAGCAATGCGCAAACACACATATAGCAACGTGCACACACACACACACATAGCAACGTGGACACACACACACATAGCAACGTGGACACACACACACATAGCAACGTGGACACACACACGGCTCGAATCTCCCTCCCTCCTTCCCCTTGTAGAACAGTCGGACACTGGGATGGGTAAGAGGGTCACAGAGGGCGAGTGGGGGTCGGTGAGACAGGTCAGGAGGTCGGAGGGTGAGTCGGGGTCGGTGAGACAGGTCAGGAGGTCGGAGAGTGAGTCAGGGTCGGTGAGACAGATTAGGAGGTTGGAGGGCAAGTCGGGGTCGGTGAGATAGGTCAGGAGGTCAGAGGCCGAGTAGGGGCCGGTGAGACAGGTCAGGAGGTCAGAGGCCGAGTAGGGGCCGGTGAGACAGGTCAGGAGGTCAGAGGCCGAGTAGGGGCCGGTGAGACAGGTCAGGAGGTCGGAGGGTGATTCGGGGTCGGTGAGACAGGTCAGGAGGTCGGAGGGCGATTCGGGGTTGGTGAGACAGGTCAGGAGGTCGGAGGGCGATTCGGGGTCGGTGAGACAGGTCAGGAGGTTGGAGGGCGATTCGGGGTCGGTGAGACAGGTCAGAAGGTCGGAGAGCGAGTCGGGGTCGGTGAGACAGGTCAGGAAGTCGGAGGGCGAGTTGGGGTCGGTGAGACAGGTCAGGAGGTCGGAGTGTGAGTCGGAGTTCGTGAGACAGGTCAAGAGGTCGGAGGGCGAGTAAGGGTTGGTGAGACAGGTCAGGAGGTCGGAGAGCGAGTAGGGGTCAGTGAGACAGGTCAGGAGGTCGGAGGGCGAGTAGGGGTCGGCGGTGCGGACCGGAGGATGTTGGCGAAGATCCGGTGTCGCGGGTGGCGGTAGACCTCCACGAGGCCGAGCAGCGAGTAGAGCAGCGGCAGCACCAGGTTGAGGAGGCACACGACAAACGGCAGGAGCAGCAGGGCCGCCTCGTCCGCCAGGTTGCCGTCCTGATTGTGCTGCGGGGGACACGGGGACAAACAGGGGCATTGATATGCGGAGAGACACGGGGGCACTGAGACACAGGGACGCGGGGGGGGGATGTAGAGAAACGGAGAAATCCACTAACGTGAATACAAGGGGATGTGGAGACGTGTGGACATTGGGATATGGCCCACGGCTCGTTTGTACCGCTATGCGCCAACACCAGTGACGATTATCTGAACCGGTCTTGGGCATCCCCTAGGTCGACTCAGCCTCAAATGAGTACTTGATGCAGTGTGTAAAGATTGCCACTGGGGAGACAAATGCGGCCGGACTCTAACAGCACTTGCCCCAACAGTCTGTTAAGGCAACACGGGGGATCTTTATATTTGCGTGCACATGTGCGTGCGCGCATGTGGTGTGCGCACGTACATGTGCATGCGTGCACGTGTGTGCACGTGCGTGTACGTGAGTGTGTGTGTGCGTGCGTGAGTGTGTGCGCACGTGCGTGATTGTGTGTGTGCGTGCGTGCGTGTGTGTGTGCGTGCGTGAGTGTGTGTGAGTGTGCGAGAGTGTGCGCGTGCGTGAGTGTGTGTGCGTGTGTGCGTGTGTGCGTGCGGCGCCACCTTAGTATTTTTGGACAGGAAGTAGATGCCGGCGCAGGAGCCCGCGGAGGCGGCGGTGGTGGCGAGCCACACGCCCAAGTGCACCAGCAGCTTCCGCAGGCGCTGCGGCAACGACAGCGCCTCGTCGTCGGCGCGCAGCTCCGCCAGCAGCTCCTGCAATGGAGGGCGCACGACCCCCACATCGTTGTGACCTCCCATCGTGACCTCCCACCGTGACCTCCCACCGTGACCTCCCACCGTGATCTCCCATCGTGACCTCCCACCGTGACCTCCCATTGTGACCTTCCACCGTGACCTCCCACCAGTGACCTCCCATCGTGACCTCCCACCGTGACCCCCGTGTTGTGACCACCTAGTCATGACCCCCCGAGTGACCCTCTGTTACTCCCCCATGTGACCCCCTGCTACCAATCATGACCACCGTACACACGGCTGCACGTTCAGCAAAATTTAGATTCTTACACCGCACGATTGCTCCCATCATTGGGTGGCGACCCCCCTTATTTAAATGGATGTGCCTCCCGCCCCCCCGCCCCCCACCCCACCTTGAGCTGCATGCTGAGGTTGCGCTGTTTGAGGGTCACGGCCTTCTCGTTCGTGAGCCGGAAGTCCCAGGAGCAGAACGCTTTGCTGTAGTCCGTGCCCTGGCCCGGCACCACGTAGTTCTGGCTGAAAGAGCTCCCCATGCTGGGGGGGGGGGGGGGGGGGGGGGGGGGCAGCGAGCGGCACACCGCGTCGTCATCAACGTGGCACGCTGAGTGACGCACCAGCCGACAAAAAGACAAAGCTCCCCCGTGTAGCCTGTAACAGACTGTTGGGGCAAGTGCTGTTCACGAGTAGCACCTGTGAAGGCCGGCACGGCACACGAGAGGGTGGCTGGCCAGCACCACACCCGACCGCACACTGCACCAGGTACTCATTTGAGGCTGAGTCTACCTAGGGGAGGCCCAGGACCGATTCAGATAATCGTCACTGGTGTTGGCCGTGAACGGGAATCGAACCCGGGTCGCTGGGTTCGTAGCGCAGCGCACAAACCGCTACACTACCGCTCTCCACACACACGCACAAGAACAACAACAGCCGCCATTCGCCACTAAGTGGCGGTGACATCGCCACCTTGCTGTGTTTTAGCATCGACCCCCCCCTCCTACCACGCAAAAAGATCCCCCGAATAGCCTGAACAAACTGTAAGGGCAAGTGTTGTTAGCGAGCACCTATAAAGGCCGGTACGGCACACGAGGGGGTGGGTGGCCAGCACCACGCCCGACCGCCTTTGTCTACCTAGTGGCAATGTTTACACACCGCACCAGGTACTCATTTCAGGCTGAGTCGACCTAGGGGAGGCCCGGGACCGGTTCAGATAATCGTCACCGGTGTTGTTCGTGAGCGGGAATCGAACCCGGGTCGCCGGGTTCGTACCACGGCGTAGCGCTACATCACCGCTCCCCAGAGGTCGCAACCGGGTACCCGATACCCGTACCCTACCCGATACCTGGCTACCCGTACCCGGCCGGGTACGGGTACGGGTACCCGTTTGCGACCCTGGTGCGGCCGGGTACGTTTACGGGTAGGCCGTGAGTCACTGGTGAGTAACCGTTTGTCACTCATTTCGGGTAGGGTACTGGTACGGGTAGGGAACGGGTACCCATTTGCGACCCTGGTGCGGCCAGGTACGGGTACGGGTAAGGAATCAAAACCCGTTTGCGACCTCTGCCGCTCCCCCCCCCACCACACACACACAGGCGCCGGGGGGGAGGGGGCGGGCGCAACCTGTAGAGCAGCCCCGCGGCGCAGGCGATGATGTAGGCGGCCGTAGTGAAGAAGTAAGAGAACTGCATGTTGTAGGGCGAGTCCCTCCCGTCACGCAGCAGCGTCGAGTTCGAGTAGTAGCCGTAATAGAGCAGCGAGTCCGAGAAGGCGCCCTGTCAGTCAACGCGCGCACACCACGGCGGCAACAGCGGCAGCAGCAGTGGCAGCAGTAGTAGCGGCGGCAGGAGTGGCAGTAGCGGCAGCAGTAGGAGCAGCAGCAGTAGCGGCAGTAGTAGTAGCAGCAGTTATAGCAGAAGTAGTAGTAGCAGCAGCAACAGCAGCAGTAGCAGAAGTAGTAGTAACAGCAGCAGGAACAGCAGCAGCGGTATCAGCAGCAGTGTCGACAACTGTAGCAGCAATACACATCTAACGCTGTCTATAAATGTTGAAAAGCCCCATCTGTACTGGAAAATTGCGTGCAGACCAAAAACAAATGTGTCCATAAGGCCAAGAAAACCGCATGTGCAAAGATATTGTCACGTGGCAACGCAAGGCATGATGGGAGTCGTGCCTTTCTGCTGCTTGTGAGTGGCACACCTTTGCGTTTGTCTATGTATCAGACTGATGATGATGATGATCCTTCTGCTGCTGTTCTAGATAACGATGCTAATGCTGCCACTGATAATAATGAGGATGGTGACGACGACGATGATTGCGATAACAATGATGTTTAAGATGATTATAACAACGACGACGACGACGCCGATGATGCCACTCATGCTAATGCTGCTGCTGCTTCTTCTTAAAACACTGCCGTTGCCACGGCGACGGCGGCACTCACGGCGCCGGTGAGGATCTCGAGGCCGCGGAACGGCGTCCCGGCGGTGCCGTTGGAGCCGGTGACCTCGAGCGACTGCGGGATGAGCATGAAGCCCACGGTGAGCAGCACGGCGAGCAGGTCGAACCACAGCAGCCAGCGCAGGAACAGGAAGTAGGAGAGCACGCCCGTGCCGAAACGGCTGCCCACCGACTTGAGCGCCGAGCGCCACGGCGAGAGCCACTCTCCCGCGGCGCGCAGAGAGTCCCGGCACCTCCTCAGAGTCTGCGCAAAAACAAAGACAGAGATCCCCCCGCCCAACGCCGTGTAGCCTTTAACTGACTGTTGGAGGCAAGCGCTTCTTTGCTAAGTGGCACCTATAAAGGCCGGCACAGCACATGAGTCGGGGGTGGGTTGCCGGCAGCACCACGCCCGGCCGACCGCCTTTGTCTCTCCAATGTGTCTATTCTAGATTTGAAGCTTTCGTGACTGCAAGGATTCATATTCTTAGGTTTTTTCGGTAAAGTCACGTAGGTAAAAAATTAAAATTAATAATAGTAAAATAAAATTTTAAAAAATCACGATGTTTCGGAGGCAACACAAGCTTCCGTCTTCAGGTGGAAGACGGAAGCTTGTGTTGCCTCCGAAACGTCGTTAATTTGAATTTTATTTAACTTTTATTAATTTAAATTAAAACATTTTACCTACGTGATTTTACCGAAAAAACCTAAGAACAGTGTGTAGATGTTTACTACACACTGGAGAGACAAAGGCGGTCGGCCGGGCGTGGTGTTACCGGCCACCCATCCACCCCCCCCCCTCCGACTCGTGTGTAGATGTTTACTACACACCGCGCCGGGTACTCATTTAAGACCGAGTCGATGCAGGGGAGCCCCAGAACCGGTTCAGGTAATCGCCACCGGTGTTGAGGGGGCTGTGAGTGGGTATCGAACTCGGTTTCACAGGGTTCGTATTAGCATTCACAGCGACGCACAGACGCGTGCACACAGGGTTAGCGCTAAGTTAAGGGGTTGGGGATAAGTTAACATGCTCTTAGGCTTTTTCGGTAAAGTCACGTAGGTAAAAAATAAAAATGGAAATAAAATAAAAAATCACGACGTTTCGGGCGCAACACAAGCGTCCGTCATCAGGTGGGACAACCACAGCAAGTGGCTTCAGCATTTGTTTCTTGCTGTGGTTGTCGTGATTTATTATTTTATTTCTATTTTATTTTTTACCCACGTGACTTTACCGAAAAAGCCTAAGAGTATGAATCCTTGCAGTCACGAAAGCTTCAAATCTAGATAAGTTCACAGGTCAAGGTTAAGGGTTATGCCCGAGGTTACGGTTACATTCACGGTGTGGCCGGCACAGAAACTTGGTGGTCACGGTTTGGGGGGCGGTGGGGGGTGGGGGGCAAAGCGGCGACGCGGGGAGATGTGCCGGCACGCCCGGGGTGTGGCGGAGAGTGTGTACAGCCGAATAATCAAATACTTTGCAGCATGTTCAGAATGTGGCTGCTAGGGTGTTAACCTGAACACATTCTTCATATCATATTACGCCCGTGTTGGCCTCCTATTGTTGACTTACAAAGCGGTGAACCGTCTCGCCCCAGCCTACATCGCTGACATGCTGCACCCTTGTGTCCGCTCAAGGTCCCGAAGATGTGGGGATGCCGTTGTTCTTCTGAATTCTCAGGTGGAGGTCTTCGGTCTGTGGGTGACCGAGATTTTTCACCGTTGGGCCCCAGGCTATGGAACGCTCTCCCACGAGATATCAGGATCTACGAGTCTGTTGAAAATGTTTTTAATGCGTCTTAAAACCTATTTATACGCTTCCACTGCTTAAACTTTTGTTAAGTAAATAGATTCTTAAAATGGAATTATACTTTTATGGTGAGTGTCTGCTGCTGCTGTGTCCCATACGGCATTGTAGGATCCTTGATGAAAGGCGCTATGTAAATGCGATTATAATTATTATTCAACGCGCGGTGATTCTAAACGTGGAGAAGGGGGGGACTGGCTGGGTGAGTGGCAAAACCAGAGAAGGAACCCGAGAGAAATCCACGCGACCGTCACGGGGGGAGAGACAGAGAAAAAGAACACGAAGATGCAACAGGCATCGTCAGGGTCCCGGATCGAACCCGCGCTCTGCCACGTGCGTGCGTGCGTGTGTGTGCGTGCGTGCGTGCGTGTGTCTGCGCACGCACGATTTTGATGGTGAGGAGGCACGAGGTGCAGCAGCCGGCGCCGGCGGCTCGGCGCGTGCGCCGGGGGTCTTGGTCGGCGCGGGCGGCGCGCGACTGCAGCGACCGCTTCTCGGCGAGCGGCGTGAGCATCTCGCGCAGCGTGCGCTGGCGGTCGCCCGCGGACAGAGCCACCAGCTCCTGCAGCAGCAACTCCGTCTCTAGTGAGGGGGGTGGTGTGGGGGGGGCGGGGACGGGGGGAGAGAAGGTGAGCGCGGGCCACGTGGAGGAGAGGCGGGCCGCGGGGCGGCTCATGCGCAGGGCCGACGCGCGCTCCGGCCTCATCCTTGCCCGCACCTCCGATTAGCACGGTTGGCTATGTACGGTGCGAAAGAAGTTCAACGTGCATACAGACGCGTGATTCATCCTGGGGGAGGAATCTGATGAAGCCGCGAAGCTCTCTTTCACAGGTGCCCAGTAAGGAGTGGTAAGTTAAATAAATTTTAAAAAAAAGTGCAATAAAGGATACAAGAGTAAGACGGAGAAAAGTTAAGTCACGAATATTTTTTACACGTATAAAACATGGAAGTACAAATTGCATGAGTACGTAAATTCCTGCAGATTCGTCAATAACAAAAGGAAGCTTGTTGTGACTGCCAAAACAACAACAACAGTCCGAGACCACACAGAGACAATTTAGGTCTAGAATCGGCCTCTCCGATTACTCAAGTTATCAATTCCTTCATTGTCGTGAGCGTCCAGAACCGATATTAGTTGGTGAATCGATGTCGCGACCCAAACCATAACGATGCTGCTGACGAGGGGCCAGCCGTAGCCCAACGGACACCCGACCACAATTAGCGAAGTTCGCTTTTTTTGTTCCCCGCTCACCATCGTCGGGCGTGCTGGTCGACGTGGCGATGGAGCTGGTCCTGCGGATGGAAGTGTTGCGCCGCCGTATCGACCCCAGCATCTTGCCCGACTTGCGGCCTGCGTTGCCATGACAACACATGACAACCGTCAAGTCAGTCGTGGGGCAAACAAGAGCGTTAATGTTAGTTGGGCAAACGCACTCTGATGTACCCCTGAACAAAAAAACGTTTCCCGGAGGATATTAATTCTAGATTTGAAGCTTTCGTGACTGCAAGGATTCATACTCTTAGGTTTTTTTCGGTAAAGTCACACACAAGTCTCCGTCATCAGGTGGGACCGTCACACCTGATGACGGAGACTTGTGTTGCCTCCGAAACGTCGTGATTTATTGTTTTATTTCCATTATTACTTTTATTAACTTTTAATTTTATTTTTTACCTACGTGACTTTACCGAAAAAAACCTAAGAGTAGGTTTCCCGGAGGAACCAATATCCATTTTCCACTGGCCTCATCCGAGCTGAGCAAGCGCTAGGCCCTTGCCGTACGGGTTGTTTTCCACTCTTTGCCGTGCCGGGCCAGAACCAAACCATGCTACGCTGGCTTCGCAAGACACCTGAATCTGGCTCGGGGCCAAGCAGGGCCAGGGCCGTAGCTAATGATGGCGTTGATCGCGTGCAACGTCAGTCGGCGCACTACCGCGGTGAACCGTGGTGAACCGCGTGACCGCGTCACCTGCGCACGTCTCAGACTTGTACCGCCACGCCTGACGTCAGCGGCACGGCTCGTGTGTATGTACGTATGCATGTTGAACTTTTTTCGCACCGTACGTAGCCAACCGTTCTAATCTGAGGTGCGGCTTCTTAGTGGAAAAACAAACTGATGCCCGCTTGGGCGATGCTGCGATAGCTCAGCACGGCCCTGGCACGGCTCGGTTCGTGCAGTGGAAAAGAGGCAAGAGAACCGTGCTGCCCCCCTCCCCCCCACACGCCCTCGCCTCCCTCCCCCACCCCGTGGCCATGGTGCGGGCGACACGCACCAACGGTGCGGCTGGGCAGGTTGAGCATGATCTCGCTGGGGATGGCAGAGTCGTCCACGGGACCCGAGGCCCCCAGGCCCAGTGCATGCTGGGTAGGAGCCATCTGAGGGGCGGCTTCAAATCCTGTTTTCACTGCACGAACAAAAAGACAATTAAAGTTCATGAGGGGGGAGGGGGATCGTTTGTGCTGCCGCGCGTTTTGCTGGGGATCTTAAGCGACTGCTTCAGTGAAGTTTTACGAGTTAATAAAGAGGTAGAGGCACGGCCTGTAAACAGCTCGCAGTAAAGTTTGTGTTTGTGCTATAATCTGAATAGTGTGGGCCCACTGCAAGTAGGCGATGCACGGATTTCATTTTTCGATTTTATTATATGTGTACCGAGCAAAACATTCATTTTTTTTCGACGAACAATGTTTTGTGCTTACGAATCACATTAGTGGACGTTTCAAACAAACTAGAGGGGGGGGGGCACGTGCGGGAAGCCGCGTGGTGGGGCAAGAGTGGGTGTGGTGGGGCGTGGGTGTGCGTGGGGGGGAGTGGGCGTGGGTGTGTGTGGTGGGGCGTGTGTGTGGGTGGTGTGGCGTGGGTGTGGGTGGTGGGACGTGGGTGTGCGTGGGGGGGTGTGGGCGTGGGTGTGTGTGGTGGGGCGTGTGTGTGGGTGGTGTGGCGTGGCTGTGTGTGGTGGGGCGTGGGTGTGCGTGGGGGGGTGTGGGCGTGGCTGTGTGTGGTGGGGCGTGGGTGTGTGTGGTGGGGCGTGGGTGTGTGTGGTGGGACGTGGGTATGTGTGGTGTGGCGTGGGTGTGGGTGGTGGGACGTGGGTGTGTGTGGTGGGGCGTGGGTGTGCGTGGGGGGGTGTGGGCGTGGCTGTGTGTGGTGGGGCGTGGGTGTGTGTGGTGGGACGTGGGTATGTGTGGTGGGACGTGGGTGTGTGTGGTGGGACGTGAGTATGTGTGGTGGGACGTGGGTGTGTGTGGTGGGACGTGGGTGTGCGTGGGGGGGGTGTGGGCGTGGCTGTGTGTGGTGGGGCGTGGGTGTGTGTGGTGGGACGTGGGTATGTGTGGTGGGACGTGGGTGTGTGTGGTGGGACGTGGGTGTGTGTGGTGGGGCGTGGGTGTGTGTGGTGGGACGTGGGTGTGCGTGGGGGGGCGTGGGCGTGGCTGTGTGTGGTGGGGCGTGGGTGTGTGTGGTGGGACGTGGGTATGTGTGGTGGGACGTGGGTGTGTGTGGTGGGACGTGGGTGTGCGTGGGGGGGTGTGGGCGTGGCTGTGTGTGGTGGGGCGTGGGTGTGTGTGGTGGGACGTGGGTATGTGTGGTGGGACGTGGGTGTGTGTGGTGGGACGTGGGTGTGTGTGGTGGGGCGTGGGTGTGTGTGGTGGGACGTGGGTGTGCGTGGGGGGGTGTGGGCGTGGCTGTGTGTGGTGGGGCGTGGGTGTGTGTGGTGGGACGTGGGTGTGTGTGGTGGGACGTGGGTGTGTGTGGTGGGGCGTGGGTGTGTGTGGTGGGACGTGGGTGTGCATGGGGGGGTGTGGGCGTGGGTGTGTGTGGTGGGGCGTGTGTGTGGGTGGTGTGGCGTGTGTGTGGGTGGTGTGGCGTGGGTGGTGTGGCGTGGGTGTGCGTGGGGGGACGTGGGTGTGGGTGGTGGGACGTGGGGGGGCGTGGGGGGGCATGGTGGGCCGTGGGTGTGCGTGGTGGGGCGTGAGTGTGCGTGGTTGGCTGTGGGTGTGCGTGGTGTGCGTGGTGGGGCGTGAGTGTGCGTGGTTGGCTGTGGGTGTGCGTGGGGGGACGTGGGTGTGCGTGGTGGGACGTGGGTGTGGGTGGTGGGACGTGGGGGGGCGTGGGGGGGCGTGGTGGGCCATGGGTGTGCGTGGTGGGGCGTGAGTGTGCGTGGTGTGCGTGGTGGGGCGTGAGTGTGCGTGGTGGGACGTGGTGGGACGTGGGTGTGCGTGGTGAGACGTGGGTGTGCGTGGGCGTGCATTTGAGGCGTGCAGAGACCATCTCTGAGCGAGGACATGGGCAGCGACTCGTAATGACGCCCGTCTTCCGAGCCGTTGTCCGGCTCGCGGATCACCGGGTGCGCCCTGCGGAGGGAAGTGCGCGTTAATCAGTCGATTCCTTAGTCGTAGGGTGCCGCGGTGGCGAGAAGACATTATCTCCATCGCCTGGTAAGAAGGAGCGCATGGGTTCGATCACGGACCCTGACGATGCCTGTTGTTGTATATTCAGTCTGCGTGTTCTTTCTCTGCCTGTGGTGGTCGCGTGGATTTATTTTCCAGGTTCCTCCGGTTTTTCCCCCCCTCCACATTTACTAATATAATGAGCCAAGAATGTCTGTGTGTAACGCGCGTGACGCTCACTCCCCATCGACCAGCCCCCCTCATTAATAATTATCATGAACTGGTTGGGTCCTCTACATGGACCCCCACCCCGTCATTAATAATCATGAACGGATGACGTCACTCCGCATGAAGAAGATGGAGCGGAAACGAAAATTTGTTTAAGCAAATTAGCTTTCATTTTGACATTTCTACATGGAAAGTAAAGCTAATTAAGAAATCAACGCAGCAACGAATATAACGAGCTAAAAAAGGCTGTGTGTGTGTGTGTGTCCCGCGTGTGACGTCACTCCACATGCCCCCCCCCCCCTCTCATTATTATTCACGTGCGCCTGGATTTTTTGACTAACGCAGAAGAAGGTCAAGCGGCTATGATATTTTTTTACGCAAATTCGCTTTCGATTTCACGTATCTTTATAGAAAGTGAAGGCAATAAATAATTCTACGCCGCATCTCAGTGCATCTGGTGCCTTTATTAATCTCTTCGCCACGTCCAACAAAGGGTAAGTCGACTTTACGCTTCCAAACGATGCTACAATAAACATCTCTCTGCTACTTTGCAGACATTGTATCGAATCGCAATTGTTTTCAACCCCAGCGAGCCAAAGCGGAAGATAAGTAAGTTATCAGAGTCGTGAATTGCAAGTCATTGAACGTCCGTTAAAGACAGTGCTACTGTGACATATGACGTCAGGTGTTTTATTACTTTGTTGCGTGCCACAACCACTGCCATTCATGCAGTGCTGGGGTCAAATACTGTGACGTGTTTTATGACTTCCTTTTGTGCAACATTCACTGCCATGAATACGGTGCTACAGTGAAATGCAGTGAAGTGTTTGATGACATTATTTTTTTCAATATTCTCTAACCATTATATTTAGACGAGATAAAATTATACTCTGATCAATTTATTGGTCTTCGTTATTTGCTAAGTTACTTCAGACAGTATCAGCAATCACTCTTCGCTATCAAGCGTCCATCGGTGAAGATAAGTTTGTCAGTTAACTGCTTCAGGTGATTTTAAAACTGTGCTAAAGTGAAGCTGCTGGTTTTTTCAAATTATACAGCCACAGAGATTGTTTGCTTTGCGACCGAGGCGAAATCGTCTTCATCTCGTAAATCCACCTGGCCCCAAGTGACGTCACTCTTCCTTTCGTACTGAGACAACGACAATTTCCCATAATTCCCGCGTATGCGATGACGATCAACAAGTCGCAGGGTCAGACTTTTGAAAATGTGGGTATTTATATCAATGGACCCGTATTTTTCCCATGGCCAGTTGTACGTGGCTTTGTCTAGATCTAAATATCCTCAGCGGATCAAAGTGTTCATCAAGGATGGCCAACTGCAGGGAAACCTTTTGAACAGTGATAGGAGATTCACACAAAATATCGTATACCGAGAACTCTTCCAAAGTCCTTAATTTCATTTAATAATCTTCTTGGTTCTTTCGGTAAAGTCACGTAGAATTGAAATAATAATAAAATAATAATAAAACATGTCTTCTCGACAGACCTGTTCTCCACCTCAGGACGGATACTTGCGTTGTGGCCGAAACGTCGTGAGAATGATTTTATTATGTTTTTTTATTATTTTATTATTTCCCTTCTACGTGACTTTACCGAAAGAACCAAGAAGATGAATCCCTGCAGTCACGAAAGCTTTACATCGAAATTCATTTAATAAGTTAATACATATTTATTTATGTACTACATGTCAATCACACAATAAAACGTTATTTTATATCTTTAATATACCAGCTTCCGTCCTAGGATGGGCTAACAAACTAGTTTAGAAGTAACTTGCGTTTTAGATACTTTGGCTGCTACTATCAATTTCCACATGTGCCGATGATACCAGACACTGCTGCGACGAGCTATGATGCGTGGCCAGCTTGCCTCGGAGACGTAAATAATACCTCAGTGGGCTTTACCTGGTAAATAAAACAGTTTAGTGCGTAATATTTAGCTTCACGTATAGCAGCGTCATTGTCGTTCATGCAAATTGAATCTCACAATCGCCAAGGAAAGGTCAACAATTGCCCAAGTTCCGCAGTCTTCTATATGTAGCAATGCATTTGACGCTTTATTCGTATTTTTCATATGCAAAGATCATCACAAGCACAAATAAAGACGTACAGCCAAATTAATGGAAAAAAACGAAGAGCACTAAAAACGTTAAATAAGACCCCTATGCTTAACAGGCCGAGGCTGAGTGATCACAATAGGCGAATGTCAGAGAGTCGGCACTAGAATAGAGCCCTTTTTCTTGAATAATCATCAGCGTGGTTGCGGAGGAGATAAATCACAAAATAATCAGACATTTCATCTCCTTCACATCTCCGTCTCTCCGCGTAAAAAAGAAAAACGTTAAAGTATTTTTACACCACCCATTGGGCCCCCCATGGGCTTCTGAGAGAGCATCAATTCAACAGAAATTATTCGATTAGCACGGTTGGCTACATAGAAGTTCAAAATACATGGAAATACGAGCACATTTCTGGGACCGGTTTGAACACTCAATGTCTCATCAGCAGAGTCAAGCTGGCTTTCGTCAACGCTGGTGTTAATGCTAAACGTTACAGCCAAGGCCCCCCCCCGGCCCCCCGCCAACTTAGGATTTCGATGGAGGACTTTTCAGTGTGAGCGTAGTGCTTGGTTGGAAGGCCACGCGGAGGATGACCTCGTGGGATCTGAGGGTCACCCATGGTACGTTGGGGTTCGTCATCAGGCAGTAGGCGGAGCGCTTAACTCCGCGGGCCTTGATCAACCGTGCACGAGGAGTACGTTAAAGAGCGCCGGCTCCAGATGGTCCCCTTCTATGGAGCGTCTGAAATAAGCTCGGCGGATGGAGGGTCGGGAGACGGGAACCGAGGGGATGAGGGGGTAGAGCCCCTCCAGATCAGACGGGAATCGGACTCGGAGGGATGGAAGGTAAACACGCTCGCCCATGTCGCCTCATTTTATTTTATTTATTTCGGATGCGTTTCCGTTATACCCCCCTTGCCTTAATTCTAGATTTGAAGCTTTCGTGACGGCAAGGATTCATACTCTTAGGTTTTTTCGGTAAAGTCACGTAGGTAAAAAATAATAAATAAATAATATTGCCTTACTTTATATAAAAAAGAAACGACCATTACCCCTTTCAGTGGGGACTCGTCTGGGTTGGGGCAGCAGCCGATGTTCATTTACCATCTCTCTATCCCCCTGATATTTTTTTTATAACCGGTTCAGTTTCCATTGGCGGTGTGTATGTGCATCACAACGCGACGTAATGGGCCAGCGCATTGCTTCAATTAAAAAAACATGTCATAAAACAATACGATTAAATTTGAAACATAGCAGCGCCTGCGTCAAACGGCACCGAGCGACGGAGTGTCAGGGTCCGCGACGCGGTGTCAGGGCTCGAACCGGCTCGGCCTTCGTCACTGTGAAGGACGCGGTCACGGGAACAACGGGCAGGCAGGTGGCACACGAGGAAATAATAACCACACGCAAATACAGAAAAAAAGACAAAGATCCCCCGTATAGCCTTAAAAGACTGTAGGGGAAAGTGCTGTTAGCGAGCACCTATGAAGGCCAGAACGGTACACGAGGGGGTGGGTGGCCAGCACCTGGCCCGACCGCACCGGGTACTAATTTGAGGCTGAGTCGACCTAGGGGAGGCCCGGGACCGGTTCAGATAATCGTCACTGGTGGTGTTGGCCGTGAGCAGGAATCGAACACGGGTCGCCAGGTTCGTAGCGCAGCGCGCTAACCGCTACACGACCGCTCCCCACACATGCACACACACACGTGCGCACGCAAATACAGACGCAAAAAATGCCGAGGAAGACACACATACAAAGACAAAGATGCCCAGTATGGCCTTGAACAGACCGTTGGGGCTATTGCTGTTAGCGAGCACCTATTAAGGTCGGCATGGCAGACGCGGCGGTGGGTGGCCAGCACCACAGTCCAGCTCCCTACGTCTCCCCAACGCTTATTTGATTGCACACCGCACCAGGTACTCATTTGAGGCTGAGTCGACTTAGGGGGAGGCCCAGGACCGATTCAGATTTTTCGTCACCGATGTTGGCTCTGAGCGGGAGTGGAACATGGGCCACCACACTAACCATTAAGCCTCCACCCTCCACCACCCTCCCAAGAGTCAACATAAACACACGCCTACACAAACACACCCCACACAAAAGAATAAACACATGCAGTCCGCGTATGAACAAGGGTGGTGGCAGTGTAGAAACATCTCAGGTGAAAGCTTATCTGACCGCACGTCAGTCACTCCACTCACTATTTCCTCACTCGAATCCCCGTATCTCGGCATTGCGGTTCACGGCACTGGGAGCGTCTGCTGAGCGGCGACTGCGGAGTCGAAACCGCCTTGAAAGTACCTGGGCGGCGGGGGTGCGGCGGGTAATGGATCACCTTTCCGCATTCAAAAGCTCGCTCTGACGTGGGCCTGTTGTGGTTTCAACCATGGTGATCGATGGGCCCCGCGCGTTCAAAACTTCGCGTACGATCGGCGTGCCGATTGAAAGCTTTCGTGACTGCAGGGATTCATCTTCTTGGTTCTTTCGGTAAAGTCACGTAGAAGGGAAATAATCAAATAATAAAAATATAACATAATAAAATACAATTCTCGCGACGTTTGCGTTGTGGCCGCAAACGTCGTGAGAATTGTATTTTATTATGTTATATTTTTATTATTTTATTATTTCCCTTCTACGTGACTTTACCGAAAGAACC